GGCGCTGTGATGACCAAAGGTGATGGAAGAAACCTGGTGCTGCAGGTAGACAATGATCCGAATGGCTGGAAGTGTTTTGTGTTGCGGGGAGAGAGCATGTTCACACTAGGAACCTCTGCTGATAAGATGAAGAACAGGGCTGTTATAATTGCAGAATTGAACGAAGCAAAAAGAGCCACTTTCTGGTGCAAGAACGGTACACAACGAAGCAATGCAGTGACGCTGAAAATGACAGGTGACTCCTTCCTCCTTTCCCTGTTTATTTCCTGTTTCCTGTTTCGTTAAAGGGAAATACAAAAATACTAATTCTGTCATTATTTACTCGCTTTCATGTAGTTCCATGATTTGTAGATTATCTGTGTCCATGCAATTAAATTCAATGGAGTCCAAAACAACACTGGATCCCACTCACTTTCCTAGAATTTTTTTTCTGACCACAAGTTGCCAGCTAGTTCCCATCAGTCTTACATGCTCTTGAACATGTTAAGCAAGTGATGTTAGAGTATATTGAAATTTCACAATAATTAAATCTGCATGTAATAGTCAAGTAATAAACCATGTTTTCTGGTTTACTAAGGATTTCTGACTCCTTGAATCAGGTCCTCCTCAAAAATTACAAACAATATCCTCTAAATCTCAATGGCTTCCATAAAGAGCCATGAGACTAAACTGGAGAGCAAATAGAAACTGATTCTCAGATGTGGAGAAAGAGACACCTCACATCTGTCACCTCTATAGTTGCAGGGCGAATCTCATCAATAGCTCAAACTGTGCTCAGACTTGCCAAAACATCAAAGTCTATAAAAGTCAGATCTCAATATAAAGTCTCTTCTCCAAGATCAGGGTTTATAGCTCTATACTCCTACTGTATAGCAACTATTTACTCATTTGCATCACAAAGACAAAGTTGATCAATATATTCAATTTCAAAAATTCCAATATACTTTTTTTCCAGTGCTGACATTTCCTGTTGAATCCCTTTTTCTTAAACAGCCAATAGCCTGTAGTTTATGTCAGTAACACCATACTTTGAATGAAGCATCAGGTTCTTGCAGCGGTAGATGATGGATGTCTGACCTGTGTGTCTGTGTGTGTCAGAGCTCAAGGTGATGTTGGACCCTCCAGCCGTTCCTGCACTGCTGGGGGAGAGTGTGGCTCTCAGGTGTGCGGTCTGGGGTGGGAAAGCGGACAGAGCTGTATTCTATAAGGATAATAAGCAAATCGCAACCACAACAGAAGACACATACATCATCACCAACGCCACACAAGATCATACCGGACAGTACAGCTGTCACGCCACCTACAGGTACAGCCACATCAGTGCAGAAGCTGTCCAGCAGGAAGGAGATTCTGATGCGCAGGAGTTAAAAGTTATAGGTAAACATTACAATATTACAATCACTGCCTCACCTCATCCCTTCATTTATACACGACAACCACTACTAGTACTTGTAAGTATTTTTTAGACATGTTACCATGGCATTCCTTAATACTGTATATGTAAGAGTACCATGTGGTACTATACAATAATAATAATAATAATAATAAAGAAGGATTAAATGAATAATAATAACAATAATACTGATATAAATAAATAACAATATTATTTAAGCAATATTTATATATAATTATACTTAACACTAAATAAGTTTGCAGTACAAATAAGATATGTATGAATATATCAGTTATATATATATAACATTACTAGTAATAATAATTGTAATGACAAAAGCAGTAGCCTATAGTCTGATTCATGAACAAATGACTCTTATGTGTCAATTCTTTTAGTGAATCAGTCAGGGTTGCACGTTAGAATTAGTCTAATGAATTACTCACTGAATCTGTCAGAGCGGTTACATTTATACATTTGTCAGATGCTTTTATCCTTATCAGGATACGCATTCACTGGGAATTTAAACCATGACCTGAGCTAACGTTAAGTTTGAATGAAGTTAAACACATCACTTTTAGTGAATTACAGACCTGTCTCTCTCCTACCATTCATTGCGAAAACACTTGAACGAGTTGCTTTCAACCAAGTATCATCTTTCCTGTCTCTGAACAACCAGCTGGATGTCAACCAATCTGCTTTCAAGAAAGGGCATTCAACCGAGACTGCATTGCTGTCGGTCACCGAAGCCCTGCGGATCGCAAAAGCTGCTTCCAAATCATCAGTTCTCATCCTCCTGGATCTGTCTGCTGCCTTCGACACTGTGAACCATCAGATCCTTCTGTCCACCCTCTCATCACTGGGCATCACAGGTACTCCTCTCCACTGGTTTGAGTCCTATCTCACAGGTAGGTCCTTCAGGGTCACATGGAGAGGTGAGGTATCCAAAGCACATCAGCTGACCACAGGGGTTCCCCAGGGTTCAGTTCTTGGATCGCTCCTCTTCTCCATTTACACCACATCACTGGGACCCATCATACAGGCACATGGTTTCTCTTACCATTGCTATGCTGATGACACCCAGCTCTACCTCTCATTTCAACCAGATGATCCCACAGTAGCTGTACGGACCTCAAGCTGTCTGGCGGACATCTCGGTATGGATGAAGGAACATCACCTGCAGCTCAACCTGGCAAAGACTGAGCTTCTCATCCTCCCTGCCAATCAGTCTCTACAGCACGACCTCACTATCCAGCTAGAGTCTTCCTCAATCACCCCATCAAGGTCGGTCAGAAATCTTGGAGTAATCTTTGATGATCAGCTGACCTTCACAGACAACATTACAAAGACAGCTCGATCATGCCGGTTTGCTATGCACAACATCAGGAAGATCAGGCCTTTCCTAACTGAGCATGCAACAACTTCTCGTCCAGGCCCTGGTCATTTCTAGGCTTGATTACTGCAATGCTCTTCTGGCTGGACTTCCATCATGTGCAACTAAACCTCTACAAATGATCCAGAATGCTGCAGCTCATCTGGCCTTCAACGAGCCCAAACGGTCCCACGTCACTCCTCTGTTCATCTCTCTGCACTGGCTACCACTCGCTGCTCGCATCAAGTTCAAGGTGTTGACACTTGCTTACAGATTGACCACAGGATCAGCTCCCTCCTACTTCCACTCACTACTACAAGTCTACATCCCTTCCAGAAGCCTACGATCAGTCAATGAGCTCGTGGTACCATCACAGAGAGCCTCAAAATCACTCTCCAGAACATTCTCATTCACGGTTCCATGCTGGTGGAACGATCTGCCCGCCCTCATCCGAAATGCAGAATCCCTGACAGGATTCAAAAGACAACTGAAAACTCATCTCTTCCGTGAGCACTTACAACATAATTATAAAAAATAATAATTTCCTTTTCTTTTAAATCCTTGCTTATCTGGCTTATGCTACTCCGAGCTATGTCTGAACTTTATATTTTGAGCACTTCTTGCGTTGTTTTTGCCTCTTCACGAAGACTCGCTTAGTTTAGTTCTCAGTTGTAAGTCGCTTTGGATAAAAGCATCTGCTAAATGACTAAATGTAAATGTAAGTCACTATCCTACCAACTGAGTTACAGGAACAACCACTGAATCAATTCTTTTGTAAGTCATATTTGTGTGTGGTACAGGTGGGCCTCCTGCTCCTACAGTGGATTCAACGTCTCCTAAGAGTCTGGAGTGTTTCTGCAGAGACTGTCCTTCTTCCTGCACGTCCTACTGCTGGTATCAAACATTTCTTAATGACTCATTTGCACGCCAAAGACTACCTGAAAATACACAGATTATTACCGTGGAGGAAGGAGGACTGTTCAGCTGCCGGATGGAGTGTGGGAAAGGTTTCTCCCGATTTAGCAACATTTACAGCTACAAAGGTACCCCCAAACACACACACACACGCTACTGAAAATTTGAAATGTTACTTTGGCATAATTGGCAACTAATTGAAACAAAATAAGTTAAATCTCAGCTACTTAATTTCAGCTATTAATTAATTTCAGGTTTTAGTTTAATGATAATAACCTGTAAGCTGAGAAACGAGTCTAATTTATTTTCGGTGGTAATCAACAGCAGAAACGGTTCTCGAAGTATCGACTACACCCAGTTTCAGGGCAAAAAACGCATGCACACAGAACTGTATGAACAGTTTCATTTTCCGTGCATTTTAAAGCTGCAGTCCGCAGTTTTTCCTCTTTGTCGCCATCTCTGTTCGAAACCTGCAATTGCAGTCATTTGCGGAATTATCAACTTTACGTGAGTTGTACTTCGACACCCTCAACATGGCACAGCGCGGATGAACACAATGTTTGAGGAGAGTGTGAGGCTGTCAGTCACCGCCGGTGTGGAAACTGGCATTCAGAATCACAGATTATTCTTTTTGGAAGTATGACCAACATAATAATTTTCACCGAAAAATGTAATCTGAACAAGTAAGAGTAACATCCACTTTTGTTCTGACCAAATAAGGGGAAAAAATCATTGCAGTAAATCGCGCTGATTAAATCTAACAATCGCTTATCATATCACGTCAAAGCGTGCAAATTATACTTTGTTCTCAAATTGTTAATGTTCAACAACGTCAGCATTGCGTGACTACATGTAATGTCCTTCTGATATTATCCTTGTTTTCGCATGGGCCGGTTGCAGTCTCTTTTTCTGTTGTCACTGGTGATTGTCGTTTGAACTTTTCTGGATCCGATCCGCCATCAAATTGATAAGTTTAGTTATATCAAATTATCAGTTAAATTAAATTGCAATTAAATTTCAATGCAAACTTGACAGAATTAATTATGTAATAATATCATTTTTGGTGATGTTTGCACTATGATCATTTTGTAACACAGATTTTCAATTACACTGCCAAAAGCAAATTTTTACAAAGATATTTAGAAAGATATGCAAGAATTACTTTCAAAACTACTTTTTTGAAAATGCAACTGGCCAGTGACTCTTGAGTCATGATTCACCCAAAACTGACTGGGTGCGGCCGTCTCATTCAATGTCAATGAAGCTGCAAATTAAAATGAAAGATGAAATTTCTTAGTGCAGAAATAATCTGATTTATCTTTTTATGTCACAGTGCTGTTGGCTCTCATAAGAGAGGACAAGGGAGAAAAACCAGCAGGTAAATACACACATTTTCATTCTGCACAAGATCAGAGGAGCTAAAAAAAAAGAGATACTATCAAATCTATAATAAAGCACAGGATTAAGAAAAAACCAATGCAGATCTGCAAACCTCATCACTTCACCCAACCAGCATACTGATGTTTCTAATGAACCTCCAACCATGTCCAAAGTAGTTCCTGACGTGGTTCCTCGCTGAAGACTGAAGAGTCTGTCTCCTACATGATCAAAAAGCATCAGATTATTTTCTAAGATCTGCAGATCCTCCTGAAGAATCCCAATGTTAGAAACCAGCAGCTCAAGTTTATTTTTAACAAGATCCTCATTACTTATGGCAGATTTCACATCGATTAGACGGTCAAAAACTACACTGAACTCGACCGAATACCTGAAGCCCTTGAATAAAAAAACAGCAAAAAAACTGTTAATTTAATTAAAGTCAGAGAGAGGGTGAAATGGCGAAAAGCAATATTAAGATATTTTTTTAAAAAGCAACAAAAAATATTTTTTTCTAAAAAACCTGATATGAATGAAAGGGTATATGACTTTTTAAATAAATAAATGCATAAATAAGCGCATCAATTATTTATTTATGCCTTTATAAATGCATTAATAAAAAAAATGCATTAATTTATAATTGCACCTTTTACGGTCCATTTCAAACTTTTCCAATTACTCCAATTATTATATTTGTTGAGTAGGCAGAACTAAATCACCATGGTTTACAATTATTGTCAATCAATAAATCAATCAATAATATTTTACAATAGTAAAGTAGTCAGACAACCTGGCGTTACAGAAGATGTGTCTCTTATGTGTCTGTTTTCTTTCTCTCAGTGTCTCTCCTGCCGAGGTTCCCAGATGTGTTTGTAGGAGATGACATCACTCTGATCTGTAAACGAGGGGGTGGAACGATAAAATGGTTCATTAATGGAAAGCTACAATCAGATCAGGATTCTCCAATGCTTCTTACAGCAGTGACATCTAAAGACAACGGGGAGTACGTATGTGAGCGGGGCGGATTGAAGAGTGACCCGTACACACTCACTGTCGAAGGTATGAACACCATCCTAAATAACTCTAAACTTTCCCTCACGATCATCAGTTCCTCCTGCTGTTTCTCATCCTCTCTCTCTCTCAGAGCTGGAGCCTCACGCTCAGCTCTCTCCATCTATAGGTGGCGCTGTGATGACCAAAGGTGATGGAAGAAACCTGGTGCTGCAGGTAGACAATGATCCGAATGGCTGGAAGTGTTTTGTGTTGCGGGGAGAGAGCATGTTCACACTAGGAACCTCTGCTGATAAGATGAAGAACAGGGCTGTTATAATTGCAGAATTGAACGAAGCAAAAAGAGCCACTTTCTGGTGCAAGAACGGTACACAACGAAGCAATGCAGTGACGCTGAAAATGACAGGTGACTCCTTCCTCCTTTCCCTGTTTATTTCCTGTTTCCTGTTTCGTTAAAGGGAAATACAAAAATACTAATTCTGTCATTATTTACTCGCTTTCATGTAGTTCCATGATTTGTAGATTATCTGTGTCCATGCAATTAAATTCAATGGAGTCCAAAACAACACTGGATCCCACTCACTTTCCTAGAATTTTTTTTCTGACCACAAGTTGCCAGCTAGTTCCCATCAGTCTTACATGCTCTTGAACATATTAAGCAAGTGATGTTAGAGTATATTGAAATTTCACAATAATTAAATCTGCATGTAATAGTCAAGTAATAAACCATGTTTTCTGGTTTACTAAGGATTTCTGACTCCTTGAATCAGGTCCTCCTCAAAAATTACAAACAATATCCTCTAAATCTCAATGGCTTCCATAAAGAGCCATGAGACTAAACTGGAGAGCAAATAGAAACTGATTCTCAGATGTGGAGAAAGAGACACCTCACATCTGTCACCTCTATAGTTGCAGGGCGAATCTCATCAATAGCTCAAACTGTGCTCAGACTTGCCAAAACACCAAAGTCTATAAAAGTCAGATCTCAATATAAAGTCTCTTCTCCAAGATCAGGGTTTATAGCTCTATACTCCTACTGTATGGCAACTATTTACTCATTTGCATCACAAAGACAAAGTTGATCAATATATTCAATTTCAAAAATTCCAATATACTTTTTTTCCAGTGCTGACATTTCCTGTTGAATCCCTTTTTCTTAAACAGCCAATAGCCTGTAGTTTATGTCAGTAACACCATACTTTGAATGAAGCATCAGGTTCTTGCAGCGGTAGATGATGGATGTCTGACCTGTGTGTCTGTGTGTGTCAGAGCTCAAGGTGATGTTGGACCCTCCAGCCGTTCCTGCACTGCTGGGGGAGAGTGTGGCTCTCAGGTGTGCGGTCTGGGGTGGGAAAGCGGACAGAGCTGTATTCTATAAGGATAATAAGCATATCGCAACCACAACAGAAGACACATACATCATCACCAACGCCACACAAGATCATACCGGACAGTACAGCTGTCACGCCACCTACAGGTACAGCCACATCAGTGCAGAAGCTGTCCAGCAGGAAGGAGATTCTGATGCGCAGGAGTTAAAAGTTATAGGTAAACATTACAATATTACAATCACTGCCTCACCTCATCCCTTCATTTATACACGACAACCACTACTAGTACTTGTAAGTATTTTTTAGACATGTTACCATGGCATTCCTTAATACTGTATATGTAAGAGTACCATGTGGTACTATACAATAATAATAATAATAATAAAAAAGAAGGATTAAATTAATAATAATAACAATAATACTGATATAAATAAATAACAATATTATTTAAGCAATATTTATATATAATTATACTTAACACTAAATAAGTTTGCAGTACAAATAAGATATGTATGAATATATCAGTTATATATATATAACATTACTAGTAATAATAATTGTAATGACAAAAGCAGTAGCCTATAGTCTGATTCATGAACAAATGACTCTTATGTGTCAATTCTTTTAGTGAATCAGTCAGGGTTGCACGTTAGAATTAGTCTAATGAATTACTCACTGAATCTGTCAGAGCGGTTACATTTATACATTTGTCAGATGCTTTTATCCTTATCAGGATACGCATTCACTGGGAATTTAAACCATGACCTTAGCTAACGTTAAGTTTGAATGAAGTTAAACACATCACTTTTAGTGAATTACAGACCTGTCTCTCTCCTACCATTCATTGCGAAAACACTTGAACGAGTTGCTTTCAACCAAGTATCATCTTTCCTGTCTCTGAACAACCAGCTGGATGTCAACCAATCTGCCTTCAAGAAAGGGCATTCAACCGAGACTGCATTGCTGTCGGTCACCGAAGCCCTGCGGATCGCAAAAGCTGCTTCCAAATCATCAGTTCTCATCCTCCTGGATCTGTCTGCTGCCTTCGACACTGTGAACCATCAGATCCTTCTGTCCACCCTCTCATCACTGGGCATCACAGGTACTCCTCTCCACTGGTTTGAGTCCTATCTCACAGGTAGGTCCTTCAGGGTCACATGGAGAGGTGAGGTATCCAAAGCACATCAACTGACCACAGGGGTTCCCCAGGGTTCAGTTCTTGGACCGCTCCTCTTCTCCATTTACACCACATCACTGGGACCCATCATACAGGCACATGGTTTCTCTTACCTCTCTTCCTCTCATTTCAACCAGATGATCCCACAGTAGCTGTACGGACCTCAAGTTGTCTGGTGGACATCTCGGTATGGATGAAGGTACATCACCTGCAGCTCAACCTGGCAAAGACTGAGCTTCTCGTCCTCCCTGCCAATCCGTTTCTACAGCACGACTTCACTATCCAGCTAGAGTCTTCCTCAATCACCCCATCAAGCTCAGTCAGAAATCTTGGAGTAATCTTTGATGATCAGCTGACCTTCACAGACCACATTACAAAGACAGCTCGATCATGCCGGTTTGCTATGTACAACATCAGGAAGATCAGGCCTTTCCTAACTGATCATGCAACACAACTTTTCGTCCAGGCCCTGGTCATTTCTAGGCTTGATTACTGCAATGCTCTTCTAGCTGGACTTCCATCATGTGCAACTAAACCTCTACAAATGATCCAGAATGCTGCAGCTCGTCTGGCCTTCAACGAGCACCAAAAGAGCCCACGTCACTCCTCTGCTCATCTCTCTGCACTGGGTACCACTCGCTGCTCGCATCAAGTTCAAGGTGTTGACACTTGCTTACAGATTGACCACAGGATCAGCTCCCTCCTACTTCCACTCACTACTACAAGTCTACATCCCTACCAGAAGCCTACGATCAGTCAATGAGCTCGTGGTACCATCACAGAGAGCCTCAAAATCACTCTCCAGAACATTCTCATTCACGGTTCCATGCTGGTGGAACGATCTGCCCACCCTCATCCAAAATGCAGAATCCCTGACAGCATTCAAAAGACAACTGAAAACTGAGCACTTACAATATAATTATATATATATAATAAAAAAAATCCTTTTCCTTTAAATCCTTGCTTATCTGGCTTATGCTACTCCGAGCTATGTCTGAACTTTATATTTTGAGCACTTCTTGCGTTGTTTTTGCCTCTTCACGAAGACTCGCTTAGTTTAGTTCTCAGTTGTAAGTCGCTTTGGATAAAAGCATCTGCTAAATGACTAAATGTAAATGTAAGTCACTATCCTACCAACTGAGTTACAGGAACAACCACTGAATCAATTCTTTTGTAAGTCATATTTGTGTGTGGTACAGGTGGGCCTCCTGCTCCTACAGTGGATTCAACGTCTCCTAAGAGTCTCGAGTGTTTCTGCAGAGACTGTCCTTCTTCCTGCACGTCCTACTGCTGGTATCAAACATTTCTTAATGACTCATTTGCACGCCAAAGACTACCTGAAAATACACAGATTATTACCGTGGAGGAAGGAGGACTGTTCAGCTGCCGGATGGAGTGTGGGAAAGGTTTCTCCCGATTTAGCAACATTTACAGCTACAAAGGTACCCCCAAACACACACACACACGCTACTGAAAATTTGAAATGTTACTTTGGCATAATTGGCAACTAATTGAAACAAAATAAGTTAAATCTCAGCTCCTTAATTTCAGCTATTAATTAATTTCAGGTTTTAGTTTAATGATAATAACCTGTAAGCTGAGAAACGAGTCTAATTTATTTTCGGTGGTAATCAACAGCAGAAACGGTTCTCGAAGTATCAACTACACCCAGTTTCAGGGCAAAAAACGCATGCACACAGAACTGTATGAACAGTTTCATTTTCCGTGCATTTTAAAGCTGCAGTCCGCAGTTTTTCCTCTTTGTCGCCATCTCTGTTCGAAACCTGCAATTGCAGTCATTTGCGGAATTATCAACTTTGTGTGAGTTGTACTTCGACACCCTCAACATGGCACAGCGCGGATGAACACAATGTTTGAGGAGAGTGTGAGGCTGTCAGTCACCGCCGGTGTGGATACTGGCATTCAGAATCACAGATTATTCTTTTTGGAAGTATGACCAACATAATAATTTTCACCGAAAAATGTAATCTGAACAAGTAAGAGTAACATCCACTTTTGTTCTGACCAAATAAGGGGAAAAAATCATTGCAGTAAATCGCGCTGATTAAATCTAACAATCGCTTATCATATCACGTCAAAGCGTGCAAATTATACTTTGTTCTCAAATTGTTAATGTTCAACAACGTCAGCATTGCGTGACTACATGTAATGTCCTTCTGATATTATCCTTGTTTTCGCATGGGCCGGTTGCAGTCTCTTTTTCTGTTGTCACTGGTGATTGTCGTTTGAACTTTTCTGGATCCGATCCGCCATCAAATTGATAAGTTTAGTTATATCAAATTATCAGTTAAATTAAATTGCAATTAAATTTCAATGCAAACTTGACAGAATTAATTATGTAATAATATCATTTTTGGTGATGTTTGCACTATGATCATTTTGTAACACAGATTTTCAATTACACTGCCAAAAGCAAATTTTTACAAAGATATTTAGAAAGATATGCAAGAATTACTTTCAAAACTACTTTTTTGAAAATGCAACTGGCCAGTGACTCTTGAGTCATGATTCACCCAAAACTGACTGGGTGCGGCCGTCTCATTCAATGTCAATGAAGCTGCAAATTAAAATGAAAGATGAAATTTCTTAGTGCAGAAATAATCTGATTTATCTTTTTATGTCACAGTGCTGTTGGCTCTCATAAGAGAGGACAAGGGAGAAAAACCAGCAGGTAAATACACACATTTTCATTGTGCACAAGATCAGAGGAGCTAAAAAAAAAGAGATACTATCAAATCTATAATAAAGCACAGGATTAAGAAAAAACCAATGCAGATCTGCAAACCTCATCACTTCACCCAACCAGCATACTGATGTTTCTAATGAACCTCCAACCATGTCCAAAGTAGTTCCTGACGTGGTTCCTCGCTGAAGACTGAAGAGTCTGTCTCCTACATGATCAAAAAGCATCAGATTATTTTCTAAGATCTGCAGATCCTCCTGAAGAATCCCAATGTTAGAAACCAGCAGCTCAAGTTTATTTTTAACAAGATCCTCATTACTTATGGCAGATTTCACATCGATTAGACGGTCAAAAACTACACTGAACTCGACCGAATACCTGAAGCCCTTGAATAAAAAAACAGCAAAAAAACTGTTAATTTAATTAAAGTCAGAGACAGGGTGAAATGGCGAAAAGCAATATTAAGATATTTTTTTAAAAAGCAACAAAAAATATTTTTTTCTAAAAAACCTGATATGAATGAAAGGGTATATGACTTTTTAAATAAATAAATGCATAAATAAGCGCATCAATTATTTATTTATGCCTTTATAAATGCATTAATAAAAAAAATGCATTAATTCATAATTGCACCTTTTACGGTCCATTTCAAACTTTTCCAATTACTCCAATTATTATATTTGTTGAGTAGGCAGAACTAAATCACCATGGTTTACAATTATTGTCAATCAATAAATCAATCAATAATATTTTACAATAGTAAAGTAGTCAGACAACCTGGCGTTACAGAAGATGTGTCTCTTATGTGTCTGTTTTCTTTCTCTCAGTGTCTCTCCTGCCGAGGTTCCCAGATGTGTTTGTTGGAGATGACATCACTCTGATCTGTAAACGAGGGGGTGGAACGATAAAATGGTTCATTAATGGAAAGCTACAATCAGATCAGAATTCTTCAATGCTTCTTACAGCAGTGACATCTAAAGACAACGGGGAGTACGTATGTGAGCGGGGCGGATTGAAGAGTGACCCGTACACACTCACTGTCGAAGGTATGAACACCATCCTAAATAACTCTAAACTTTCCCTCACGATCATCAGTTCCTCCTGCTGTTTCTCATCCTCTCTCTCTCTCAGAGCTGGAGCCTCACGCTCAGCTCTCTCCATCTATAGGTGGCGCTGTGATGACCAAAAGTGATGGAAGAAACCTGGTGCTGCAGGTGGACGATGATCCGAATGGCTGGAAGTGTTTTGTGTTGCGGGGAGAGAGCGGCTTCACACTAGGAACCTCTGCTGATAAGATGAAGAACAGGGCTGTTATAATTGCAGAATTGAACGAAGCAAAAAGAGCCACTTTCTGGTGCAAGAACGGTGGACAACGAAGCAATGCAGTGACGCTGAAAATGACAGGTGACTCCTTCCTCCTTTCCCTGTTTATTTCCTGTTTCCTGTTTCGTTAAAGGGAAATACAAAAATACTAATTCTGTCATTATTTACTCGCTTTCATGTAGTTCCATGATTTGTAGATTATCTGTGTCCATGCAATTAAATTCAATGGAGTCCAAAACAACACTGGATCCCACTCACTTTCCTAGAATTTTTTTTCTGACCACAAGTTGCCAGCTAGTTCCCATCAGTCTTACATGCTCTTGAACATGTTAAGCAAGTGATGTTAGAGTATATTGAAATTTCACAATAATTAAATCTGCATGTAATAGTCAAGTAATAAACCATGTTTTCTGGTTTACTAAGGATTTCTGACTCCTTGAATCAGGTCCTCCTCAAAAATTACAAACAATATCCTCTAAATCTCAATGGCTTCCATAAAGAGCCATGAGACTAAACTGGAGAGCAAATAGAAACTGATTCTCAGATGTGGAGAAAGAGACACCTCACATCTGTCACCTCTATAGTTGCAGGGCGAATCTCATCAATAGCTCAAACTGTGCTCAGACTTGCCAAAACACCAAAGTCTATAAAAGTCAGATCTCAATATAAAGTCTCTTCTCCAAGATCAGGGTTTATAGCTCTATACTCCTACTGTATGGCAACTATTTACTCATTTGCATCACAAAGACAAAGTTGATCAATATATTCAATTTCAAAATTTCCAATATACTTTTTTTCCAGTGCTGACATTTCCTGTTGAATCCCTTTTTCTTAAACAGCCAATAGCCTGTAGTTTATGTCAGTAACACCATACTTTGAATGAAGCATCAGGTTCTTGCAGCGGTAGATGATGGATGTCTGACCTGTGTGTCTATGTGTCTCAGACCTCAAGGTGATGTTGGACCCTCCAGCCGTTCCTGCACTGCTGGGGGAGAGTGTGGCTCTCAGGTGTGCAGTCTGGGGTGGGAAAGCGGACAGAGCTGTATTCTATAAGGATAATAAGCAAATCGCAACCACAACAGAAGACACATACATCATCACCAACGCCACACAAGATCATACCGGACAGTACAGCTGTCACGCCACCTACAGGTACAGCCACATCAGTGCAGAAGCTGTCCAGCAGGAAGGAGATTCTGATGCGCAGGAGTTAAAAGTTATAGGTAAACATTACAATATTACAATCACTGCCTCACCTCATCCCTTCATTTATACACGACAACCACTACTAGTACTTGTAAGTATTTTTTAGACATGTTACCATGGCATTCCTTAATACTGTATATGTAAGAGTACCATGTGGTACTATACAATAATAATAATAATAATAAAAAAGAAGGATTAAATGAATAATAATAACAATAATACTGATATAAATAAATAACAATATTATTTAAGCAATATTTATATATAATTATACTTAACACTAAATAAGTTTGCAGTACAAATAAGATATGTTTGAATATATCAGTTATATATATATAACATTACTAGTAATAATAATTGTAATGACAAAAGCAGTAGCCTATAGTCTGATTCATGAACAAATGACTCTTATGTGTCAATTCTTTTAGTGAATCTGTCACGGTTCATGGATTCACTGTCTCGCCCTCGCGCTGTGAGTATGGTTATGTGTATTGGTAGGCGTGGCTCGTGATTGAGGTTGATGAGCGGATCAGCGTCAGCTGTTTCTCATCACGGCACCCTATTTATTGTGTGTGAGTTTGTCCTGTCTTTGTCAGATCGTTGTCGAGGCTCTCTGGATTCACCCTTGTCTTTTGTCCAGTATCCTGTCTGTTCGTTTGCCCGGATCGCCTGTTTTCCCTGCCGGATTGCCTGGAGTCTGCCCATCTGCGTCCCTGCGTTGCCAGTGTCCTGCCAGAGACTGAGACTTCCATCTGAACCTACTACTTCTATTCTTTTGTGAATAAACAGTTGTTCATTGCACTTGAATCCTATCGTTCTTTCTGGTCCAACTGACAGAACGATCTGACCATTATGGATTCAGCAAGCACAACGGAGCTACAGAATTTCCTCACGAGCAGTGCTGCACGGATGGATCATCAGGAGGAACAAGCGACGGCGACTGGTCGTGCCATGCAAGCACTGGTAACGCAGGTGTCCGAGCTCACCACTCAGATCCAACAAATGAGAGCGTCCCCTGCGCCACCCCCGCCGACCGTTCCCCAGGACCCTCCGAACTTCCATCTGCACGAGCCGCGCATCCCTACCCCTGAGAGATATGCGGGTGAGCCCAATCTGTGTAGAGCATTTTTAACGAAGTGTTCCATTTTTTTCTCTCTTCAGCCACTTACCTTCGCCACTGAACAATCTAAGGTGGCCTTGGTGATGACATTGTTGTCCGGACGCGCGGCTCAATGGGGAACGGCGGTGTGGGAGAATCAACATCACTGCTGTTCTTCGTTCCAGGCACTCGCGGACGAGATGAGACGGGTGTTTGACCGCGCGATCGTGGGCCGCGAGGCGGCGCGCAGACTCACTGAGTTGCGTCAGAACAACAACACCGTTTCGGACTATTCCATCGAATTCCGCACCCTGGCGGCCGAGTGCCACTGGAACGAAGAGGCGCAGTGGGACGTCTTCCTGCATGGGTTGGCTGACCGTGTTCAAAGAGAGATTTACACCCTGGAGTTACCGAGGAGTCTCGATGAACTTATCAGCTTGGCGTTACGCGTGGACGCTCGTCTTCAACAAGGAGGGAATCGTTCACGTCGGGGTTTGGTTCCGGAGTTTCCGGAGTTCGCCAGCGCCAGAGAGGAGAACACGGTCAGCCCCTCATTCGATCAAGAACCCATGCAGGTTGGTCGAGCTCGGCTTTCCCGGGAGGAGAAGGAACGTCGGAGAGCTAGAGGGTTATGCATCTACTGTGGCAAGGCTGGACACTTTCTCGTCAACTGTCCAGTAAAAGACCCAGCCCGACAGTAGAACGGAGGTTACTGTTGGGTGGGCTTTCAGGTATTAAATCCTCATCAGCGACTCTCCTCCCGGTAAGACTGCGATGGGCAGACCAGGCCCACACCTGCCAGGCCCTGGTGGATTCTGGAGCGGAGGGCAATCTGATGGACTATGCTCTGGCTAGACGTCTCCAGATTCCGGTCATCACACTCCAGCACCGCATCACCGTTAACGCCCTGAACGGCCAGATCCTTCCAGGGATTACTGAGGAGACCGGTGTCCTTACTGTCATTACCTCTGGTAACCATACCGAGAGAACTTCATTTTTACTCACTAACTCTCCTTTTGCACCTGTGGTGTTGGGTCACCCGTGGCTAGTACGGCATCAACCTAGGATCGAGTGGGGTCAGAATTCTGTGTCGGCTTGGAGTAATCATTGTTATGCCTCTTGTCTTTGTCTGCGTGTCCGTCTGTTTCTTGTTCTATGTTGCAGGAGGAGTCGGTGAATCTGTCTAACGTGCCCCCGGAGTATCTCGACTTGAAGGAAGTGTTCAGTAAGTCTCGGGCTGCTTCTCTTCCTCCACATCGTCCCTATGACTGTGCTATAGATTTAATGCCAGGTACGTCTCCGCCTAAGGGCAAGTTATACTCGCTCTCCGTACCTGAGAGGGAGGTCATGGAGAAATATATTTCTGATTCTCTAACAGCTGGGATCATCCGTCCTTCTTCATCTCCCGCGGGCGCAGGATTTTTTTTCGTGGGTAAGAAGGATGGTTCTCTGCGACCGTGTATTGACTACCGGGGGCTGAACAACATCACGGTAAAGAATACTTATCCGGTTGCAGGGAGCGTCTCTTTTCACGAAATTGGATCTGCGCAACGCTTACCATTTGGTTCGGATAAGAAGGGGGGATGAGTGGAAGACGGCATTTAATACCCCCAGGGGGCACTTTGAATACTTGGTTATGCCGTTCGGCCTGTCCAACTCCCCCGCCGTCTTCCAAGCACTCGTCAATGACGTGTTGAGAGACATGGTCGATCAGTTCATTTATGTTTACCTGGATGACATATTGATATTTTCTTCGTCTCTCCAGGAACACGTTCAACACGTCAGACGAGTACTCCAGAGGCTGTTAGAGAATGGGCTTTTTGTCAAGGCGGAGAAGTGCGCGTTCCATGCACAGTCGGTTCCATTCTTGGGGTATATTGTCTCGTCCGAGGGAATACGCATGGATCCTGACAAGGTTAAGGCTGTGGTAGATTGGCCAATTCCGGATTCCCGCAAGGCCCTGCAGAGGTTTCTGGGATTCGCCAATTTTTACAGACGTTTCATTCGTAATTTCAGCCAACTAGCCGCTCCTCTGACCGCCTTAACCTCCACCAGAACGACGTTCAGGTGGTCTAATGCTGCTGAAGCGGCATTTACCAACCTCAAGAGCCGCTTCGTTTCAGCTCCCATTCTCGTAGCCCCTGATCCTTCACGTCAGTTTGTGGTGGAGGTTGATGCGTCGGAGGTGGGGGTAGGTGCAGTTCTATCCCAGCGTTCTTCCTCGGACGACAAGATGCACCCTTGCGCGTTTTTTTCTCATCGATTATCGACTGCCGAAAGTAATTATGATATTGGTAACAGAGAGTTGTTGGCAGTCAAATTAGCATTGGAGGAGTGGCGCCACTGGTTAGAGGGTGCGGGGGAACCTTTTATCGTCTGGACCGATCACAAGAACCTTGAGTACATCAGATCCGCTAAACGACTGAACTCCAGGCAGGCTCGGTGGGCACTTTTTTTCGGTCGTTTTGATTTTTTACTATCGTACCGTCCGGGTTCTAAGAACATCAAGCCCGATGCATTGTCTCGTATTTTTGACCGCTCCGAACGCCCAGCTACTCCCGAGTGCATTCTTCCTGAGAGACTCGTTGTCTCTACACTCACATGGGAGGTCGAGTCGAAGGTCCGCACGGCCTTAGAAGGGGTAACACCTCCGCCCGAATGTCCACCGGGTCGGTTATTTGTGCCGGAGGGGGTCCGGTCAGACGTAATACGGTGGGGTCATGGTTCCAATGTGGCTTGTCATCCAGGGGTTAAACGTACCAGTTTTTTGGTTAAGCAACGATTCTGGTGGCCCGTGATGGCTCGCGATATTCGGGAATTTGTTTTGGCTTGCTCGGTTTGTGCTCGTGGCAAGACTTCCAATCGTCCTCCAGATGGGTTGCTCCAACCGCTGCCTGTCCCTTCGAGACCCTGGTCTCACATCGCACTTGACTTTGTTACGGGTCTTCCACCTTCTCAAGGTAATACAGTCATTTTGACGGTAGTGGACCGGTTCTCGAAGGCGGCACATTTCATCCCCTTACCCAAATTACCTTCAGCTAAGGAGACAGCGGTTACTGTGGTGAATCACGTCTTTCGCATTCATGGCCTCCCGATTGACGTGGTTTCCGACAGAGGGCCCCAATTTATATCCAAATTTTGGAGAGAGTTTTGTAGATTGTTGGGGGCGAGTGTCAGCTTGTCCTCTGGGTTCCATCCCCAGACCAACGGCCAAGCGGAGAGAGCCAACCAAGATCTTGAAAGGGTATTACGATGTTTGGTGTCCCAGAATCCTTCCTCCTGGAGCCAACAGATCTCTTGGGTTGAGTACGCTCACAACTCGTTGCCAGTCTCATCCACGGGCCTATCTCCGTTTCAGTGTAGTATAGGTTACCAGCCACCCATTTTTCCTGGTCTGGAGTCCGAAGTCGCGGTCCCCTCTGCTCACGCCTTCGTCCAAAGGTGCCGCCGCACTTGGAGAAGAGCCCGTGAGACTCTCCTCCAGGTGGGAGCGCGCACCAAGGCTCAGGCCGATCGCCACCGGCTGAAGCCCCCCGTATACGTCGTTGGTCAAAAAGTGTGGCTTTCTTCTAAGAACATTCCTCTCCGCTCCGTCAGTAATAAACTAGCTCCAAAATTTATTGGCCCGTTCTCTGTCACAAAGATTCTTAGCCCTGTGGCAGTCCGCCTCAAACTTCCTCCGGCGTACAGGAGGGTTCATTCCGTTTTCCATGTGTCCAAATTGAAACCTGTATTTCATTCTCGTATTAATCCGCCTGCACCGGTTCCCCCCCCGCCGCGCCTCGTAGATGGGGAACCAGTTTATTCGGTTCGTCGTATTTTGGACGCTAGACGGAGGGGACGCGGATTTCAGTACCTGGTGGACTGGGAAGGTTACGGTCCGGAGGAGAGAAGTTGGGTTCCGGCTAGAGACATCCTGGATCATTCCCTTATTGATGTTTACAATCGACAGGTAGGTTCTCCTGGGAGCGCCAGGAGGCGCTCCTAGGAGGAGGGGTACTGTCACGGTTCATGGATTCACTGTCTCGCCCTCGCGCTGTGAGTATGGTTATGTGTATTGGTAGGCGTGGCTCGTGATTGAGGTTGATGAGCGGATCAGCGTCAGCTGTTTCTCATCACGGCACCCTATTTATTGTGTGTGAGTTTGTCCTGTCTTTGTCAGATCGTTGTCGAGGCTCTCTGGATTCACCCTTGTCTTTTGTCCAGTATCCTGTCTGTTCGTTTGCCCGGATCGCCTGTTTTCCCTGCCGGATTGCCTGGAGTCTGCCCATCTGCGTCCCTGCGTTGCCAGTGTCCTGCCAGAGACTGAGACTTCCATCTGAACCTACTACTTCTATTCTTTTGTGAATAAACAGTTGTTCATTGCACTTGAATCCTATCGTTCTTTCTGGTCCAACTGACAGAATCAGTCAGGGTTGCACGTTAGAATTAGTCTAATGAATTACTCACTGAATCTGTCAGAGCGGTTACATTTATACATTTGTCAGATGCTTTTATCCTTATCAGGATACGCATTCACTGGGAATTTAAACCATGACCTGAGCTAACGTTAAGTTTGAATGAAGTTAAACACATCACTTTTAGTGAATTACAGACCTGTCTCTCTCCTACCATTCATTGCGAAAACACTTGAACGAGTTGCTTTCAACCAAGTATCATCTTTCCTGTCTCTGAACAACCAGCTGGATGTCAACCAATCTGCTTTCAAGAAAGGGCATTCAACCGAGACTGCATTGCTGTCGGTCACCGAAGCCCTGCGGATCGCAAAAGCTGCTTCCAAATCATCAGTTCTCATCCTCCTGGATCTGTCTGCTGCCTTCGACACTGTGAACCATCAGATCCTTCTGTCCACCCTCTCATCACTGGGCATCACAGGTACTCCTCTCCACTGGTTTGAGTCCTATCTCACAGGTAGGTCCTTCAGGGTCACATGGAGAGGTGAGGTATCCAAAGCACATCAACTGACCACAGGGGTTCCTCAGGGTTCAGTTCTTGGACCGCTCCTCTTCTCCATTTACACCACATCACTGGGACCCATCATACAGGCACATGGTTTCTCTTACCATTGCTATGCTGATGACACCCAGCTCTACCTCTCATTTCAACCAGATGATCCCACAGTAGCTGTACGGACCTCAAGCTGTCTGGCGGACATCTCGGTATGGATGAAGGAACATCACCTGCAGCTCAACCTGGCAAAGACTGAGCTTCTCGTCCTCCCTGCCAATCCGTTTCTACAGCACGACTTCACTATCCAGCTAGAGTCTTCCTCAATCACCCCATCAAGGTCGGTCAGAAATCTTGGAGTAATCTTTGATGATCAGCTGACCTTCACAGACCACATTACAAAGACAGCTCGATCATGCCGGTTTGCTATGCACAACATCAGGAAGATCAGGCCTTTCCTAACTGATCATGCAACACAACTTTTCGTCCAGGCCCTGGTCATTTCTAGGCTTGATTACTGCAATGCTCTTCTGGCTGGACTTCCATCATGTGCAACTAAACCTCTACAAATGATCCAGAATGCTGCAGCTCGTCTGGCCTTCAACGAGCACCAAAAGAGCCCACGTCACTCCTCTGCTCATCTCTCTGCACTGGCTACCACTCGCTGCTCGCATCAAGTTCAAGGTGTTGACACTTGCTTACAGATTGACCACAGGATCAGCTCCCTCCTACTTCCACTCACTACTACAAGTCTACATCCCTACCAGAAGCCTACGATCAGTCAATGAGCTCGTGGTACCATCACAGAGAGCCTCAAAATCACTCTCCAGAACATTCTCATTCACGGTTCCATGCTGGTGGAACGATCTGCCCACCCTCATCCAAAATGCAGAATCCCTGACAGCATTCAAAAGACAACTGAAAACTGAGCACTTCCGTGAGCACTTACAACATAATTATATATATATAAAAAAAAAAAATCCTTTTCCTTTAAATCCTTGCTTATCTGGCTTATGCTACTCCGAGCTATGTCTGAACTTTATATTTTGAGCACTTCTTGCGTTGTTTTTGCCTCTTCACGAAGACTCGCTTAGTTTAGTTCTCAGTTGTAAGTCGCTTTGGATTAAAGCATCTGCTAAATGACTAAATGTAAATGTAAGTCACTATCCTACCAACTGAGTTACAGGAACAACCACTGAATCAATTCTTTTGTAAGTCATATTTGTGTGTGGTACAGGTGGGCCTCCTGCTCCTACAGTGGATTCAACGTCTCCTAAGAGTCTGGAGTGTTTCTGCAGAGACTGTCCTTCTTCCTGCACGTCCTACTGCTGGTATCAAACATTTCTTAATGACTCATTTGCACGCCAAAGACTACCTGAAAATACACAGATTATTACCGTGGAGGAAGGAGGACTGTTCAGCTGCCGGATGGAGTGTGGGAAAGGATTCTCCCGTTTCAGCAACATTTACAGCTACAAAGGTACCCCCAAACACACACACACACGCTACTGAAAATTTGAAATGTTACTTTGGCATAATTGGCAACTAATTGAAACAAAATAAGTTAAATCTCAGCTACTTAATTTCAGCTATTAATTAATTTCAGGTTTTAGTTTAATGATAATAACCTGTAAGCTGAGAGACAAGTCTAATTTATTTTCGGTGGTAATCAACAGCAGAAACGGTTCTCGAAGTATCGACTACACCCAGTTTCAGGGCAAAAAACGCATGCACACAGAACTGTATGAACAGTTTCATTTTCCGTGCATTTAAAAGCTGCAGTCCGCAGTTTTTCCTCTCTGTCGCCATCTCTGTTCGAAACCTGCAATTGCAGTCATTTGCGGAATTATCAACTTTACGTGAGTTGTGCCTCGACACCCTCAACATGGCACAGCGCGGATGAACACAATGTTTGAGGAGAGTGTGAGGCTGTCAGTCACCGCCGGTGTGGATACTGGCATTCAGAATCACAGATTATTCTTTTTGGAAGTATGACCAACATAATAATTTTCACCGGAAAATGTAATCTGAACAAGTAAGAGTAACATCCACTTTTGTTCTGACCAAATAAGGGGAAAAAATCATTGCAGTAAATCGCGGTGATTAAATCTAACAATCGCTTATCATATCACGTCAAAGCGTGCAAATTATACTTTGTTCTCAAATTGTTAATGTTCAACAACGTCAGCATTGCGTGACTACATGTAATGTCCTTCTAATATTATCCTTGTTTTCGCATGGGCCGGTTGCAGTCTCTTTTTCTGTTGTCACTGGTGATTGTCGTTTGAACCTTTCTGGATCCGATCCGCCATCAAATTAATAAGTTTAATTTTATCAAATGCTGTGAGAAAAGGCTATAAATCTCCACCTCCAACATCCTCACACGCAATATAGCTTATACTAGCCGAGACTCTTCTTTATGTGTACAGATGTGTGTGTACAGATGTGTGTGTACAGATGTGACGTAATGACGCAAAGACATGCTCGAATCTCCCGCAGAAATCCACCAGTACCACTGGAGTTAAAAACATTATTACAAGCTTACCGCTTTGAATCGAGCTACGGCAAGCAGAGAGTTTTGAACACTGGCTGCTTATGTATTTGCTCAAATTTATTTGGGATAATTTTTAATCCAAAAAAAGCTACGGACTGCAGCTTTAATGTTGACATTACTCATAATGAACTACAGTCACTTCCAATTCTTACTTCACCAATTCTCATTATTTTTAGCATTAAAAAAAATGCATCCTCCTTCTTTCTCGTAGCACAACCACTGTCAGAGTCTGTAAATGTGATGCCCATCACGGTGGCTGTGGCTCTGGTGCTTCTCGTGGTGTTGATCGTGGTGCCGATCGTGGTGCTGATCGCGCTGAAGTGCAGAAAACGTGGAGGATTCAGTTTTCAGGCGACTGACAGGTGCACAGGTGGAGACTTTGATCAAATCCAGCTCATCAGTTTACCACATGCGTGTCGAGAGCAAGGACAAGGCTGAGGTGGGTTACGAGGCAGGAGGCGGTGGACCACACAATGGGACCTGGAGAATAATGATCGGTCGGTCATTTTGACAGGGTATCCGCGGGTCCTTAAAAAGTCTTAAAAAGTCTTAAATTAGATTTGAAAAATTTATGGCCTTAAAAAGTCTTAAAAAGTCTTATTTTGACTTATGAAAGGTCTTAAATTTTCAATGGCAATTTGAGTTAGACATATCTAAATGTTTTCCAAATTAAAACTATCTAATTAGCGTACTTTTTTATTTACTATTCGTTCTTTGTGGATTTGCTCGTTCACGTGACATTTCGCGTCACATTCGCGCCAGCATTACGTCTGTCTCCTGCACGCGAAACAGCAGGAGAGGAGACGAAAGCTGGTTAATTTCAGTTCAATTGTAAGTTCATTCTTTATGTGCGTAGTGGTGTGCGATGTGTATTGTCTATTATGATATTGTAATCATTGTTTTACTTTAACGTTAACTATGTACGAGGGCGCACTGCGAGCTGACATCGCATTTGTCTCTCATGCTTGCTTTCACTGCGTGATGTGTCAGTGCAGTTATAGGTATGTTCCCTTATAGACGTATAAAGTTTTTGTATTTTATATATCATATGTTGTTATCATACAATATTAGCTACATCAGCAAGAGGGCTGTTTTCCCGTGCACAATAGCAAATATGATATTTATTTTATATAACAGTTAAATTAACATTGTTACATTTTATAAACAATATTGTCAATATTGTTTGTTTTCCCTTTATTTCGCTGAATGAATGAATCAGCCGTTTGAACAAATCGTTTGAATGAATGACTCCCTGAGACAGTGACTTGCCGCCACCTACTGGCGGGTTTAGTTTCACATTAAGTACCCTGTAATTAAAATGTTACAATTAGAAATCAGTTCATATTTAAATATTGAATTAAGAATTGAAAGAATTGAATATATCATAGCTTTATTTATGCAATTGTAAATGGAGTATAAATATATTAATGCCAGTTCTGATGCTGCTTCTGTGTCTCCTCTGCACTGCAAAGATGGATTTTGATTTAATGATTTAATATAACTGGTAACAGTGGCATTGTGTTATTATTCTAATATAATTTAATTTGAATGTTAGAATTTGACATAAAAGGTGATGCATACCTCTAAGTAAAAAAAAAAAAAAAGTCCATATATGGGTGAAAATGCCCCTGGAACTCAATTTAAGGTTGCAAATATTGCCCTTTAATAAAAAAATGTTAATTCCTTTCACTGCTGTGAACTGACCACTGCATAGAATATGAAAAATATGAATATCTTCGTGAGTCAGCTGTCAACAACAGGCCTAAACCAGCCATGGTACCAGTACACAAACACAATCAGTAAAATATCATCTAATTATCATCAACAAAACTTTGAAAATATTGAGACATTTTTTTTTCAATATTGCGCACCCCTAATGTAAATTATTAATTTTGATTTCTTCAGGTCTTAAAAAGGTCTTAAAAGCCTTAAATTTGACTTTAAAAAGTGTGCAGATACCCTGTTTTGAACGAATCTTTAATATGACTCAGGAACACCGAGTTGTCTCAGAGAGTGATTTGTTCATTTTGTGTTGACCGTGCATGCGCTGTACAGGAAACAGAAATTATTAGTTCACCTCTCGAGTCTTCGGGTTCGGGTTCGGGTCCGAGTCGTTTGTTCACATGATGTCACGTGATGAACGAACGACTCGAACCTGAAGATTCGGGAGATGAACTAATCAATTCTGTACTACAGAACTACAGACTGCATAGCTCAATTTATGGGGATGTCATGTGATGAACGAACGACTCAGATCGGGAGGTGAGGAAAACTAACAGACTGCATAGCCTGAAGACCCAGATAAGCAATGAATTAATCGTTTCTGTTTCTCATAATTTGGCCTTTTGATGTGTTTGGGGAATTTGGCTATTAACATGTAACATTTAAATTATATTCTGCTGAAATTAAAGAAATTACTTAGAAAAAAGATTTGTTCATTTTGATGAACGAGATTTAAAGATCAGAGTCAGTAAAATGATCCGAACTTTCCATTACAACTGGAGAAGGTCAAGGTGGGTATGAGGCTCTGAAAGTGTAAGTTCTGTGATTTTTAACCCTATCTCTAAACATAACTCCTTAGGTCCACATAAACTTAGGTCCACAGAGGTGGAGCTGGACTTCAATTGGCTCTGCAGTGAGCAAATCTTGTTGAATTATGCGACCTTAATCATATATGTATATAGGCGCTGTAGTGATGGTAGGATTAGTGTAGGAATTAGGGCTAGAATGACAACAGCGCCTACTACGGTCACAGAATTTGGTGTAACACTGGAAAACAGGTGAAGAAACAAACAAGCAAAGAAAAAGAATGAAGAATGAATTCATTCATTCATTCATTCATCATTTCACAAATCCCAAGAATCAATCTTTTAGTTGTGTCGAAGTCTTTTCCACCAATGTTCCCAATAGACTGTCTAACCCTAATCCAACCCTACCAGTAACCTAAGGGGAAACTGATCATCTCTCTTTACTAGTTATAGCATAAACATGAATGAACATCAGAAGGTATGTTGAAAGATACAGTACAACTTGCCGAAATGTTTCATGTCTCATGTAATCGCTTTCAAGCATGAAAAGATCTCAATAAAACAACTTGTAATATGTCAAGTAACGTTATATTTAGCCGAGAAAAGCCATTCAGTGTCCGTAGCTCGAAAAATGAACAATATAAAGGAGCATTTTGCTAAATATATGCAATATACACTCAACTAAAGGATTATTAGGAACACCTGTTCAATTTCTCATTAATGCAAATCTAATCAACCAATCACATGGCAGTTGCTTCAATGCATTTAGGGGTGTGGTCCTGGTCAAGACAATCTCCTGAACTCCAAACTGAATGTCAGAATGGGAAAGAAAGGTGATTTATGCAATTTTGAGCGTGGCATGGTTGTTGGTGCCAGAAGGGCTGGTCTGAGTATTTCACAATCTGCTCAGTTACTGGGATTTTCACGCACAACCATTTCTAGGGTTTACAAAGAATGGTGTGAAAAGGGAAAAACATCCAGTGAGCGGCAGTCCTGTGGGCGAAAATGCCTTGTTGATGCCAGAGGTCAGAGGAGAATGGCCAGACTGGTTTGAGCTGATAGAAGGGCAACAGTGACTGAAATAACCACTCGTTACAACCGAGGTATGCAGCAAAGCATTTGTGAAGCCACAACATGCACAACCTTGAGGCGGATGGGCTACAACAGCAGAAGACTCCACCGGGTACCACTCATCTCCACTACAAATAGGAAAAAGAGGCTACAATTTGCAAGAGCTCACCAAAATTGTTACCACTGTGCAGGCTGGTGGTGGTGGTGGTGTAATGGTGTGGGGGATGTTTTCTTGGCACACTTTAGGCCCCTTAGTGCCAATTGGGCATCGTTTAAATGCCACGGCCTACCTGAGCATTGTTTCTGACCATGTCCATCCCTTTATGGCCACCATGTACCCATCCTCTGATGGCTACTTCCAGCAGGATAATGCACCATGTCACAAAGCTCGAATCATTTCAAATTGGTTCATTGAACATGACAATGAGTTCACTGTACTAAAATGGCCCCCACAGTCACCAGATCTCAACCCAATAGAGCATCTTTGGGATGTGGTGGAACGGGAGCTTCGTGCCCTGGATGTGCATCCCACAAATCTCCATCAACTGCAAGATGCTATCCTATCAATATGGACCAACATTTCTAAAGAATGCTTTCAGCACCTTGTTGAATCAATGACACATAGAATTAAGGCAGTTCTGAAGGCGAAAGGGGGTCAAACGTTTATATAAAAATAAAAAATAAACTCTACAAATTCACACATCATTTACATTTACAAATACAATGCATGGACCTCCAAAGTCGACTCCCACACGAAGTGAACACTACGGTAATCCAAACGACCCAAGCTGACGAATCAATGTCTTCTGAAGCTAAATAAAAGGTGTGTGAGAGAAAAATATGATTATTTTAAACTAAACTACTATTTTTCTTTCATCGGTCACACTCGGGTTCAGGCTTGAGGTAAACGTCAGCACGTTATGAAACTGCAGCGCAGTGGAAGCGCACTTGAACGGCATAAATCATGAGCAAATTTTCATTTCATCCCTCTAATATAATGAAGATTACGACTATAATATCAAATTGCTAATAAAATTAGTCACTTTTGGGATACGTGGAGATGCTCAGGAGAGTGTACGCTACTTTCTACTTTTGGAAAGGGACTTTGAAGTATTTGCATTTGCACTGTTGTTTATTCATGCTTAATAACTTGTTCAGACTATCAAAAAGCAATGCATTTTCTGTTTGTTTAATTGAATATGTATATCAAAATTATAACTGTATGCAGCAATAAACTTTTATTGCAATGCAACTGTAGTTCTGTGTTTCTCCACTAAAAGGCAAACTGGTGTCCAGCATCACATTCAGGCTTGTTTGTTTCAACCACCAGAGGTCACTGCAGGATTGATTGGGTTTACTGGTTATGCAACACTGGTTGCTCATTTTTCCCATCTATGGATTATACACGGTTTGTTCTTGTTCTTTGTATAGTATCTTTTTATAATTCTAAGTATTCAAATTAAATTTTTTATAAATGAAACCATGGTTTTCATTACTCACTGACGTCTGCATCTTTAGTTTGACCACCATTTATGGATCGCAGAAACGGATCCCTTCATAACATTATCACCATAATAATACACCAGATATTATAAATGTGAATCCCAAATGCAGATCAAGAACTCACAGAATAGGCCTATACTACTGTAAGTATACACACTCACAAAAAAATATTATTTTAAGTATCTAATAACTATTTAATATAAGTGAATAATGTATGTAGAAATTTACATTACAAATAACGATATAGTTAGCAGTAGTTTTAGTTTTACCGTAAGTCTCTCTGTTTGATGATAATAATAACCACAATAATAAAGTTTAATCGTACAAGTTGCTTTATCACAAGTTTTTTTTTATACATTCACATTTCACAACATAGAACAAGTACGTAGGAAACAAACCCCAAGAAACAAAAAGAAAGGAAAAGACACAAACCGCAGTGATGTGTTAGAAGAACGTCCTTCTACAGAGAGATTTCATCATAAAGTGACTATATTATCTTAATATTTCAGAGAGAACCACAGAAATATCACTTCATTTCTATGGGATCTGCTTCATGATTTATATTCAAGGAATAATTCACCCAAAAATGTAAATTGTGTAATCATTTGCTCACCCTCATGTCGTTCCAAACTGAATGATTAACTTTCTTCTGTGGAGCACAAAAGACGCTCATTTGAATGCATGCAATTATAATGAATTAGGACCGAAGCTCTCCGGCTTAGAAAGATCCATAAAGCATCATAACAGCAGTTCATATGACTCGCACACCAAAGTCTCAGGATGTTTTATGAAAAGTTTGGAGCTTGACAGCTCAGATCAACGTTCACTTTCATCATAATTGCAATATTTCCGATATGCATAAGGGGTTTACAAACTAAACAAACACACATGAAATATAGGAATACAATTCATTGATTCAATTATTAAAATTATATGTATACAGCATGGTAGGAATTGATTTACGCTGATTTAAAATTACGATTTTTAAAAAACATATATAGAATAAATGAATCAAATTAAAAATATATGAACAATATATATTTTTTATATTTTTAGAAAATATTTTAATTATGCAAAATTGAGGTTCTGTTTTAATTTTGGGATAAAAAAAAAAAAAGACCCAGACATTTGTTTTCATAAGACACCCCATTTATCCAAAGTGCCAGATATTCTTCTACAGAAGATATAAATAATTTTTGGGTGAACTTTCCCTTTAATTTGCTGATGTGCGAGTAAATAAGAGTATATTGAAAATGTCAAGTGCCATGCTGAGGAGAAAGAGAGGAAGTGCCGATAATTTCAGTTAAACTGTGTTATTTCTTTTCAGTATACTGTAACGAACGATCTCTGCTACCATTTCCTGGTCTCTCTCTCGGCTATATGTGCAATCTTTCGACAGCATGTTGTTCATGTTGCTGAGTGGAAGCCCTCCACGCTAGCGGTCAGCGCTTGGCATCGTTTTTGTCCGACTTAGAACAAAAAAGTAAAGGCTGAATATGATGTTTTAATTAAACTATTCGAAAATTAAAAGAATGTTTTTGTCTCAATAAAAAAGCTCTATTGACAACATTTGTGGGATAATGTCAATTATCACAGAAAATAATTTTGTTAATTAATTAGTGCTAATTGTTATTGTGCCACAAACACTGTAAATAGAGATGGACTTTTATTGAATGCTAAATATTCCTTCAATAGAATAAATGAATACAACTTTACTATGGCTACAGGTTAAATACATTAAAAAAAATAGAAATTAAAGATCAAAAAATTAATCGTTAAAGAGAATTAGCTATCAAAAACAAAGTATGTCTACACTGCTATAAGTTTATCCAAATAGTTTATATCACTAGCCTTTAAATGTGTATTTGTCTACATGAGACCAATACTAAACACACCTCACAGTATTGGCACATGAGATCAATTCTCTAAATCTTGTTTTTAATTGAAATTATACTTTAGTTGTTCTGCGAAAGTGGATTTGAACATCTATTTCATATGTGAGTATCACCGTTTACACACAGTTTCATGATTGTCACAATTTAGGCAGAATGGCAGTAATATCTCATAACAGTAATACTGTCAAAACCTTGATGATCACTTGCTAAAATACATAACCGGGCGGGAAGTCAAAAGTATGGACACACTTGACATCCATACGTTTGATTGGTCATGTAGATCAGTCGGTTTTAGGCTTTCGTACCCTGGTAAACGTCCACATGCACTCAAACGGACACGTACACACACTCTCACACACACTTCTGCTGAATCTATGTGATATCACTAGACAGGTTTGATGTTATTTATGATTTTTTTTTTTTTTTAGTTTGGGTCAAAACCACTTCCTCCGTCCCACTCGGGAGGAATATTCAGTCCTTGTTTTCCACCCGTCCTCTTCCAGCTTTACTCTTGATCTCTGAGCCCAGAATCCCTGAACATCATTCGGTCAGTCCCCTATCCTCCTCTCCTCCGTATAGGAAGCTATTCGTGCCGACAGGTTGGACATATTCCTCTGTTTTGTCCCAGTCTGAGGCCCAGCTTCCTCCGGCTCCGCCCCCTCCAGTCCCCGCCCCATTGGGGTCACCTGATTGGATAGTTGCTCCGTAGCCGCCGCCTCCCGTTGAGCGGTACAGCTCTTCCGTTTCATCCGCTAGCTCGTCTTCTCCCAATATACCACATTTCTCCTCACTCGTGTTCTCAGGCTCCGCCCACGACTGCTTCTCTCCCGACGCAAAAATACCTGAAACGCATCGGCAGTGACATCATCACTATGATTTATGTGGACAGTTATTCATTTAGAAGGGGCTTTTGGATGAATCTCACAAAAATAGTCATAAAATGTCATAAAATTCCCACCCCAAAATTGTCTGAATGTCTATTTTTAGGACCGCACAAACATGATTTTTTATTCTATAATTTAAACAATTTTATTAATGAATTCATATATAAATTTGAATATATAGTATATATACTGTATATACATACATACATATGTATATATATATATATATATATATATAATTAATTAATACAAACATGACATGAGGATTATTACTGAATAAATAACAGAAATATTTTTATTTAATCAAATAAAAAATATTAATTTAAAAAAGGAATTTCATACATTTTCTTTATGCAAATGTTTTCTTAAACCAGACATTTTTGTCATGAGATTCAACCTTTAATCCAAAGTGCCACAAATATCACACACACAACAAAATACACCAACATTTATTTTGATCAATAACTATAAATATTACATATGCACAATTAGACAGAGATGGATGGAAGGAAATGGACAGAAATATTCACCGTAGAAGATAACTCCACCATAATGAACAAGTGAAGCAATGAGAAACACATATTGCCACTCCTCCCGCGTCTACAGAGAAATACACAGGACAAGAACGTGTGTTCACGTGTGTGTGTATAGAGATATATGTGCATGAGTCACCATAACATTTCAGATAATGTATGTGCAACCTAAGAGAAATAAGAGCAAGAAGAGAAGGGACGATGTGCATGAACAAAATGTGATGGCCAGGAACAGAAAAGAGAAGAAAATGAGAAAAGGAGCTGTTATATATTGAGATGTGAAATGAAACATGATCTCTCACATCCAGCACAACTAACTCTCTTTTCCTCAGTGTCTATGGTTTAAGGTCAATACCTTGTTTTTGGTCATGGCACCAACAATCAGAGGGCACACCATGCCAGAGAGCGTGCCCACGCCGTTAGAGATGCCCATCAGAATACTGGCGTAGCGAGGAGCGATGTCCAGATGATTTACATTGAACCCTGAAGGTTGAAAAGAAAAGAGTGAACAAATTGGGGGTTGGGACGATTTTTTTATATTTTCAAAAGAAATACATTTTATTTGATCAAAAATACAGTAAAAATTTTGAAAAAATTATTTGTTTTCTATTTGAATATATTGTAAAGTGTAATTTATTCCTGTGATCAAAGCTGTATTTTCAGCATCATTACTCCAGTCTTCAGTGTCACATGATCCTTCAGAAATCACTCTAATATGATGATTTGCTGCTCAAGAAACATTTATGATTATTTTCATAAACTGTTCTGATGCTGCATATTTTCGTGGAAACCGTGATGCATTTTTTTAAGAAAAATAACAAAAATAAAAATTCCCACCCAACTTTTTTTTAACATACTTTTTTTTTTTTTTTTATAAATAAAATTTTAAAAAAAATTATAATATATCCTATAATTTACCCTATTATTTATTTGTTGTTTATCTGTTGTTTTTAAATGTGCTTTATAAATGAATAAACTAAACCAATTTAAATAATTGTATTAATTAATTTATATATAAATTAAAATATGTATATACATATTATATTCAGATTTGCTGCTCAAGAAACATTTCTGCTTATTATCAATGTTGGATACAGTTCTGCTGCTGCATATTTTTCTGGAAATTGTGATGCAATTTTTTCAGAAAGTAAAAAAAAAAACAGCATTTATTTGAAATAGAAATCTTTTTTGAACATTATAAATGTCTTTACTGTCACTTTTGATCACTTGAATGCGTCATTCCTCGCTTTTGCAAGGCAATGTATGTTCTTACAGTACCTGAGATGGCAAAACCACTAAATCCAACAGCAAGGACAAGAAACGAGATGGCGACACCCTTCGTGTGAGAGAAACCCACCACCAGAAGAAACGTGGCCTCCAGCCCGAAACCTAAACACACACACACACCTTCAGATGTCTCATTTACAGCAGCATCCAGACTGTGTACGTTATTGATTGAATAGATGAATGGGTAAGCATACAGTATATATATATATTATATAATGGCTTTACCTCCACAGTTCATGAGTTTCCTGACGTTTGTGGTGGTCATTAGGTTGTGAGTCCTCAGGTAGTCGGCCAGCTGTCCTCCGATCGGCACGACGATGGTCATCACCAGATGAGGAAGAGCAGAGACCATACCGACCTACAGACAGAGAACAGGGACGAGTGTGGCGAGTATCAACTTCGGCTCAGATTTGTCTCCTGAAATAACACAGACTAATCAAAATATTATATATTTTTTTAAATAACAAATAATGACAATTATTATAATAATTATTATCTTTATGAACATTTTAACCCATACTAAGCAAAATAACGATTATAATAACCCACACCAAGCAATTATTATAATACTATTGATATAACTATTATTATTATTTAATAGGGCTGTAACGATACACCAAACCCACGATTCGGTTCGTATCGCGATTCTATCACGGGGGCGGGGCTTGGGGTGAAAAAAAGAGATTTTGAGAGAAAAAATATATATACACCGGTATTTTTATTAAATAACATTTGGAAAAAACTGTATAATCTGAACACCAAAGAACAATAATTGCTTTTGGGTTGTGTTCTGTGCTCCAACTAAATTGATTTCGGGACGGTGCCGTAGGATATGCATCTGCATGTTGGACGTGTTGCCGGTCAATTGAGGAAGCTTATTATAACGGCAAATTGTGTGGGTCTTGTAGACTACACGAATATTCATAAAAAATACAATGTTTATTGTTATTATCATATTATTAATAATAACAATGATTATTATTATTATTAAAAAATATTATAACCTACACTAAGCAAAACAACTATTATTATTATTATTATTATGAATACTGAATAACCAACACTGACTAATCAAAATATGTCTCATCTGAGCACAGTCTGAGGTACGGTTGAGATCTCTTCTGAAACTCTAGATGAACTTCTCTCACCTTGCTGATCTCAAACTTAAACACCTCCTCAAAGTACGCCGGCTGGCTGATGAGCAGCAGGTAGAACGTCCAGCTCCTGCAGAAATTGGCCACGATGATGGCGTAAACGGGCATCGATGTGAAAAAATGACGCCATGGAGTGTTAAATTTCTGCATGAGAGGTGAAGAAGGAGAGATGCTGCAAGAGTTTCTATAGTCGGTGTTTAAACATGTGCTCGTGTGTGTTCGTACCACCAGTGGGTTCACGAGGCCAGCTGATTCCCCGATGGCGTCTTCGATGTATTTCCTCTCCTCCGCCGTGATGGTCGGATGAGCCGCCGGACTCTCGTAGGACACCAGAATCCAGAACAAATACCAGCAGATCCCAAAACTACCTGCAGCCAGAGAGATGGAGAGAAGAGAGACGGAGAGACGTCCAGTCCATAAAAACGGAGACA